ACCCTAATGCCTCCTCATTGAAGTAGTATCAGAAGAGAATCAGGAGTTTACCACCATCCCGTGGTAATGAGGCCACCCCTACCACAGTGTCAGTGGAGATCACATGGGGAACTTCTCCTACAGTGTCTTCCCTTGGATGTCAACAGAGGCAAAGTGAGGAACCTGGTAGAGGTAGAATCTACCTGGTAGTAGTGAGGCAGCACCCCCAATGCTATCCCCTGCCAGAACAGTATCAAAAATCCCCAGCAAAAAAGAGAAGGTTTAACTAAGATCCAGAGTTTCAAAAAATGTGAAAATATCCAGGTTTCAGTTGAAAATCACTTACCACACAAAGATCAAGGAAGATCTCAAATTGAATTTAAGAAAAAGACAATAGGTGACAATGATGAGATGACAGACATCAGAATTATCTGATAAGGATTTAAAGCAGTGATGATAAAAATACTTCAATGAGTAATTTAAAACATGCTTAAAACAATTGAAAAAAATAGAAAATCAATTGCTCACATATGTGAAGGTTTATTTCTAGGCTCTTAATTTTATTCCATTGGTCTGTAGTGCATACCATGCCAGTACCACACCGTTTTGATTACTGTTGCTCTTCAGTAATTTTTGAAATCAGGAAGTGTTAATCCTCCAACTTTGCTCTTCTTTCTCAAGACTGTTTTGGCTATTCAGTGTTTCTTGAGATTTCATGAATTTTAGGATGGATTTTTCTATTTCTATAAAAATGCCATTGGGCTTCTGGTAAGGATTGCATTGAACCTATGGATCACTTTGGATAGTACTGTTATCATAAAAATGTATCTTCCAGTCCTTAGATGTGGAATGTCTATTTATGTTTTGTTTAATTTCTTTTAGCAATGCTTTATAGTTTTCAGTATATAAGACTTTTGCTTCCTTGGTTAAATTTATTCCTAAGTATCCTATTTTTTTATGCCATTATAGATTGAATTGCTTCCTTAATGTTCTTTACAGATTGTTTATTGCTAGTGTATAGAAATGCATCTGGATTTTGTGTTTTGATTCTAAGTCTTGCAACTTTGTTGACTTATTAGCTCCAGGAGGTTTTTTGTTTTGTTTTGTTTTGTTTGTGGAATTCTTCTATATATCATGTCATTTGACTGAGTATACAGATAATTTTACTTCCTCTTTTCCAATTTGGATGCCTTATCCCCCCACTTTCTTAATCACTTGGACTAGAACTTAAGTACTATGTTGAATAGAAAAGGTCAATGTTGACATCCTTGTCTTGTTCCCAATCTTAGGGGAAAAAAACAAGTCTTTCACTACTAAATATGACATTAGATGTAGATTTTTGTATATAGACTTTATCATGTTGAGAAAGTTTCTTTACATTCCTAGTTATTAAGTGTTTTTTATCATGAATTTAATTAAATGCTTTTTCTGCATCATTTGAGATGATCATGTGGAATTTTTTTCCCTTCATTTTATTAATATGGTGAATTGTATTGGTTTTTGGATAGTGAACTATTCTTGCATTCTAGGAATAAATCTCAGTTGGTCATGGTGTATAATATGCATCCCAATTCAGTTCGCTAAGCATTTTGTTGAGGATTCTTACATCAATATTCATAAAGGATACTAGTTTGTAGTTTTCTTGTAGTGTAATTTGTCTGGTTTTGGTATCGGGGTAATGCTAGTCTCAATAGAATGAATTAGAAAGTGTTCCCTCCTATTCACTTTTTTGAAAGACTTGTGGAGGACTGGTGTCAATTCTTCTTTAAATGTTTGGTAGAATTCACCAGAGAGGGCATCTGTTCCTGGGTTTTTCTTTGTTGGGAGGTTTTTGATTACTGATTCAATAGCCTTACTAGTTAAAGGTCTATTCAGATTTTCTGTTTCTTCCTTCATCAGTTTTAGTAGATTGTGTGTCTCTAGGAATTTGTCCATTTCATCTAATTTGTTGGTATATAATTACTCATCATGTTCTCTTATAATTATTATTTTATTTTTTGAGACAGGTTCTCACTGTGTCTCCCAGGCTGGAGTGCAGTGGTGTCATCATATTTATTAGCTCACTGTAATCTCAAACTCCTCGGCTCAAGTGATCCTCCTGCTTCAGCTTTCTGAGTAGCTGAGACTATAGGTGAGCACCACCTCACCTGGCTAATCTTTCTATTTTTTTGTAGAGACAGGGTCTCCCTCTTGCTCAGGCTGGTCTTGAACTCCTGGCCTCAAGCAATCCTCGTGCCTTGGCCTCCCAAAGTGCTAGGATTACAGGCATAAGCCACCATACCCAGCCTCTTATAATTATTTTTATATCTATAAAATTGGTAGTAATGGCCACACTTTCATCTCTAATATTAGTAATTTGAGTCTTCCTTTTTTCCTTAGTCAATCCAGCTAAAGTTTTGTCAGTTTTGTTGATCTTTTCAAAGACGAAACTTTTAGTTTTGTAGAGTTTCTCTATTTTCTTTCCTAGTCTCTATTTCATTTATATCCACACCAATCTTTAATATTTCCTTCCTTCTGCTAGCTTTGGGATTGGTTTGCTCTTCTTTTTCCAGTTGCTTAATGTGTAAAGTTAGGTTATTGATTTGGGATCTTTCTTCTTTCTTAATGTATGCATTTACAGCTGTAAATTTTCCTCAATACTGTTTTCATTGTAGCTCATAAGCTTTGTTTTGTTAAGTCTTTGTTTTCATTTGTTTCAGGTATTTTCTAATTTTCCTTGTAATTTTTTTCTTTAACCCACTGGTTATTTAAGAGTATGCTGTTTAATTTCTACATATTTGTTCATTTTCAAGTTTTCTTTATGTTACTGATTTCTAGCTTTATTCCACTATAATTTGGAAAGGTATTTTGTATGACTTCAATCTTTTAAAGTTTATTAAGACTTGCTTCTGGCCTAACTTATGGTCTATCCTGAAGAATGTTCCATGTGCACTTCAGAAGAATGTGTATTCTGCTATTGTTAGATGGAGTGTTCTATATATGTCTGTTAGGTCTATTTGGTTTACCTGTTTTTCAAGTGATCTACTTCCTTATTGATTGTCTGATCTTATTTTCTATCCATTACTGAAAGTGAGGTATGAAAGTCTCTGTATTAGTTTTCTAGGGCTGCTGTAACAAGTACTACAAACTGGGGTATCTTAAAACAATAAAAAATTATTTTCTTACAGTTCTGGAGACTATAAGCCTGAAGTCAAGGTTTTAGCACAGCCATGCTGTCTCTGACAACTCTAGGAGAAGAATATTTCTTGCCTTTTCCTTGTTTCTGTGTTGGCAATCCTTGGCATTCATTGGCTTGTAGATACATTACTCTAATCTCTACCTCTGTCAACACATGGTGTTCTTCCTGTGAGTCTCTTTTCTTTTAAGGTCACAAATTATTGTATTAGGGCCCACTTAATCCATGATGACATCCTAACTAATTATATCCACAAGGACCCTATTTTGCAAATAAGGTCACATTCACAGATATCAGGGGTTACATTTCAACATACCTTTTAGAGAGATACAATTAAACTCCTAATAGGTGATATCTTAAAATTGAAATGATTTTTTTTTTGGTTGTATTTTAAATTATCTGAAATTGGGATATATCTTACAATCAATGGTGTCTTAAGATTCCATGAACCAGACTGGGCACAGTGGCTCATGCCTATAATCCTAGCACTTTGGGAGGCTGAGACAGGAGGATTGATTGAGGCCAGGAGTTCAAGACCAGCCTGGGGAACATAAGCAAGACCCCATCTTTACAAAAAACTTCTTTAAAAAAATTAGCTGGCAGTGGTGGTGTGCTTCTGTAGTCCCAGCTACTCTGGAGGCTGAGACAGAAGGATGTTTGAGCCCAGGAGTCTGAGGCCATAGTAAGCTATGATCATGCCATTGCACTCTAGCCCAGGTGAGACCCTGTCTCAAAGAAGTTTCCATGAACTACAGTAACAAGTTTTGTAACGTGATAACTGCTGTAAAAAATAAATAAATAAATAAATAAATAAATAAATAAATAAATAAAGATTGAGAGTAGCTGGGCAGAGACTGAAGTGTGATTGTAGGTTGCTGGGTCAGGGAAGATTTTCTTATGCAGATGACAGTTAAGCAGAGTTCTAATTGCTTAGAAAGAGCTAGCCATGCAAAATCTGGAAAAAAAGTAAATCAATCAGAGGAAATAGTAAGTATAAAAGTCTTGAACTGGAAATGAGTTTGGCATGCTAAAAGAATGGCAAGAAAACCAATATGCCTAGACTGGGAAGAAAAAAGTAGAAAAAGTAGAACAAGATGAGACAGGTACAGGGACGTAAAAAGCACCTATTAACTATAGGGTTGAGATGCTGAAATATCTGAAGGCAGAGTGTTCTTGAGACTGAAGTTACTCCCCATGAACTTTTAAGAACTCTCATATTTGAAAAGATGAAGCTATAAGCAAATCCTTTCTAGTTTTTATAACACTATTCTGTTTTTGTTTTTGTTTTGAGACAGAGTCTCTTCCTGTCACCTGGGCTAGAGTGCAGTGGCGTCATCACAGCTCACTGCAACCTTAAACTCTTGGTCTCCAGTGATCCTCCTTCCTCAGCTTCTTGAGTAGCTGGGACTACAGGTGCACACCACCACATCCAGCTAATTTTTCTATTTTTTGTAGAGACGGGGGTCTTGTTTTTGCTCAGGCCATTCTTGAACTTTTGGCCTCAAGCAATCCTCCCTCTTTGGCTCCTAGAGTGCTAGGATTAGTGAGCCACCTCACTTGGCCATTATTAATCTTTTATTATGATCATTTTGATATCAGTATATGAAAAAGCCTTGCTGGGTTCAATATTTTGGAAGCTCATCTAACTCTTTCATGAATTATTCTTATTAATAAACTTTTTCTTGTTTTTATCATTTTTTCCTACTACCTGTATAATTCTTTAACTTTCATGAATTATTTAAAATTTTTATGTTTTCTGAAAAATTACTCCTGGCCTTCTAAATATTAAAATATCTCATTGACATTGTTTCACTAAAAACCAATCTCTGACTTATTTCTCTTGAAGAGTCAAGCAAAACATTCAGTTTCTGAGCAAAATCACACCCTACAAGCAGATTCTTATTCTCCTAATTCACCAAAAAGGTGAGTACATATTTACATATCTAAATGTTGACTAATTATATCTGTGAAAGGAATCTCATGTTTACACTTCATTGTGATGCTGGGATGGTATTATCATTACTCTTTCTTTTTGTTTTAGTACCATAAAAGAAGCAAAAATAATGAACCAACAGAGCAAGCAAAGGACAAAGGTGGAAAATACAGAGGTTTCTTCCTTGGACTTTAGGACTTCTGAAATAAGTACAAAGGAAGGGTTAAATTTACATCCTGCTAAATTGAGCACTTCTTTTGACTTTCTGGAGCTAAATTGTGGTTGTAACAAAAATGTTGACACGACCATGAAATGGCAGACAAAGGCATTTCCAATAGTTGGGGAACCTCTTCAGAAGCATCAAAGTTTGGACTTGAGCTCCATTTTGTCTGGGGCATGTCCTAATTCTAAACCTGTAAATGCAGTAGGAAGATACTTTAATTCAAAGGAGCCAATAATACGGACCAAATCAACTCCCTTTGAATTGATACAGCAGAGAGAAACCAAGGAGTTGGACATCAAGGAAAATTTTTCTTATTTGGAATCTCAACCACATGATTCTTGTCTTGTGAAATTGCAGGCTCAAAAAGTGATGCATGTTTCTTCAGCAGAACTGAATTATTCACTGCCATATGACTCTAAGCACCAAATGTGTAATGCCTCTAATGTAAAGCAGAATGAGTCTAGTGCTTTTAGTGTATGTTCTTACATGGATTTAGTAGAAGATCCTTATTTTTCATCATTGCCTCCAAGTAGTACTGGTTCTAAGATGTCTCTTGATTTAGCTGAGAAGCAAGATGGAACTATTTTTCCGTGTTCTTTGTTGCCAACATCTTCTACAACCTTCCTTTCTTATTATAATTCACATGATTCTTTAGCACAGAATCATCCATCCAATTTTCCCTCCCTACTGAACCAAGGGACAGCTGTAGTGGGTAAGTTAATTTTTTAAAGTTTATATAGAATGTTAGATTTCACTTTGTTCCTATATTTAGCTTCATCTTACTCTCCCCTTCTCCTCTGCTTCTTTCTCTTTCTTTTCCTTCTCATCCTCAAAGAAGTAAATTCCAGGAGTGTTTTAATTATGTATTAAGTTGAAAATAGCAGCATCAAACATGTAATATTCCATGAAACAGGTAGCAGTGGAGGCAGTCAGATCTGGTACATGCTAGCACGAGTACTTCTAAAGAAGGCATTTTTAGAAATGTGTATCAAAGACCCATAATTTACCCTTAACATATAGAAGCAGCTTCCAAAAGAACAGAAGAAAAAATTTGATCAAAAGCACCACATGGTCACTCACAATTTTTGTTGCACAATCATGTGGCTATAATGAGTTGAACATATTGCTAAGAACTGAATCTTCTTCCTGCAGGAGTAAGGGGAAGACCTGATTTCCTGCCCTTTTATAATAACTTAGATGAGAATATGTGTTTGGTATTTTGTGTAAAATTTTTATCTTATATATAGGTTTACTTTCCAATTGTATCTATTTTATAATTCTGTATTTTTTCATATTACGTATATTGTTTTGTTTTACTGAGTAGTTTGAAAGTAGAAGTGAATATCCTGTTATAGATGATTATAATAATTTGATAGAATTGAGAAGAATTGATAGAATAATTTGGAAGAAGATGAGAGAAAGCAATGAGCAAGTTTAACTCTCTTAGGCATATCATCAAATAATTTATAAAGCATACTCTACCTAGAGAGGAAGTAGAGAAAACTTTTTTTCTATAGCATTATTTATTGTACAGTTTCCTAATAGATGTGTATATCATTTGTAGCTCTGTTGCAAAAATATTTTATCTGGATCTAGGGAATTCCTTATCAATTAGACTATTTTATGCATTTTAATCTTGTTTTACAACTTAAAAGTATTTTCTTTTTCTAGATACCAAGAATACCTAAGACTTCTCTGAGCATCAACATCAAAAACCAAATCATTATTTTCAGGGATTGTAGCAACATTGACATGTGTGCCCTCTGGTGGAAATTTCTTAAAATAACTTTTAATATTTTCTATACAACTTCTCCATGTTTCTATGAAAACTGTATTATACTATTGTATTGTAAAAAGGAAAAACACCCATATTGGATTCTGTGTGGCATTAAGAAGAGATACTAAAATATTTATGATTTTGCCTACTATATAACTAAATCTTTGGCATGTCAAAAGTTCTTTATAATACTTTATTATATATTCTATGTGAAACAAAAGGAAAGAATTCTGTAGAAAACAGTCCAAGCTTCTTAAATTTATATTGTTTTATATTAACTAATACTCAGTTACTCAATCAAAATACTACTGGGCTTTTAACACATTGTTACACTAGGAAAAATTATTTTCCTTGGGGTCATGGTGTTTTATTATGAAAATAGAATAAAAACTTCGAAAACAAAATGATCCTTTCTAATTTAATGAAAAATTTGTAATTTTTAATTGTTTTTTGTGTATGAGTTATATGCAACTTGAAACATACTTCACATGGCTCCCAAAGTGAAGAGATAAGTGAGTTACATATGCTTTATGAGGTCCTGGGCTCAAAACTAGCATGAGTTAAATACAACTCACATGGCAGTTAATGCGTTAAAACAAATAATTAAGATTGAAGAATAAGCAACCACCTCCTGAGTCTGCACCTTAAGACAAGATAATTTGTTTTGCCTTTTCCTCAAGTGAACAAATATCATACCAATTTAATGGTACTCTAATGGAATTTAAATATAAATTCTGGGCCAGGCATGGTGGATCACGCCTGTAATCCTAGCAACCTGGGAGGCTGAGGCAGGAGGATCCCTTGAGTATAGGAGTTTGAGCCTGCTGTGAGCTAGGTTGACTCCATGGCACTCTAGCCCTGGCAACAGAGCGAGACTCTGTCTCAAAAAAAAAAAAAATATATATATATATATATACATAAATCCTGTTATATTTCTATTTAATATTAGATTGGAATATAAGAATTTCCTTTGGATTATTCTAATTAACAACTGTGATTATATTTCTGACATTTTGGATAGCAACTTCTCCAAGGATAGATGATGAAATTCCCCCTCCACTTCCTGAACGGACACCTGAATCATTTATTGTGGTAGAGGAAGCTGGTGAGTACAGTTTATGAATAAAATAAGGTGTGGATTAACTAGATTACTTCTCAGGTTCTTTCAATGTTTTATGTGTTATTTGCTGAGCAACATTTGATTTCTAAAAGAATACCACTCCTAAGAATTAGACCATATTCACTTTCTTCCAGGAGAATTCTCATCAAGTGTTCCCAAATCCTCGTCCTTGGCTGTCAAGGTAAAAATTGGAACATCACTAGAATGGAGTGGAACACCTGAACCAAAGACATTTGATGACTCCGTGAGACTTAGACCAAGCAAGGTCAATAACTTTTTTTCTGACTCTCATTTGGATTCAACAAAGTTCTACTGTTGCATTTTTAGCACCTATCATTCAATAACTATTAAGCAGATACTAAATATAAAACAATGTGCTAGAGGATGTGGGGGATAAAAAAGATGTATAAGTCACAATTCTTGCCTATAAGAAACTTATAGTCTAGTAGTAGAGATAAAGGATGTGTACCTAAGTCTTTATTTTTGCCTGTATTTATTATAACAAGGCAAATATGATCAATGCCATATAAGGGGTAAAGAGTTTCAGAAGTGTGGGAGATCATGGGTTGGAAGTGATCAAGGAAGATTTAGTGAAAGAGAAAACATTTGAGCTGATTCCTGAAGGATAGTTAAGGCAAAAATAAATGTTTCATATATTTGGTAGGCTTTATCATGAATGGCAGATATGCATATTATTTAAGATAAATCTTTTGGAATAATGTTTCCTGCTTCTGGAAGAAAAATCTACATTTCAAACAGTGTTATGTATTTCTATATGTTCTGTGAACCAATTATCTTAAAATTTCAGATATCAGCAAAGCAGTTAAAAAACATTTAAAAGTTCCTACAATGAAATGCTGGTAGGCAAATATTCTCTACCTTTTAAATTACAATTTTAACGTACTAGTAATTGTTAGTATTATTAATAATATGCACACATATAATGGTCTTTATTTATTTTTGAGATAGGTTCTTGCTCTGTTGCCCAGGCTAGAGTACAGTGGTATGATCATAGCTCACAGCAACCTCAAACTCCTGGGCTCAAGTGATCCTCCTGTCTCAGCCTCCCGAGTAGGTAGGCTGATAGGTGCAGGCCACCACACCTGCCTATTTTTTTCCTTTTTTTTCTTGTAGAGACAAAAGTCTTTCATTATGTTGCCCAGCTAGTCTTGAACTCCTAGGCTCAAGCGATCCTCTGGCCTCAGACTCCCAAAGTGTTAGGATTACCGGCATAAGCCTAATGGTTTTCATTTTAACAACTCTGAGAGCAAAAAGCAACCACTCTTTTTCTAATGTCATGAAATAACTTCAATTTCAACAACTTATCTCTACTTCAATTTTCAGGGAAATGTTCTAAGTAGGAAAGAAATAAGTCAGAAGGGGAATGATTCAGGACTAATTACCATGGGATATAAAAACCACCATTAAGAGTTAAGGATGCCACAGATGGGAGCCTTGGCTCACACCTGTAATCTTAGCACTCTGGGAGGCCGGTGGATCCTTCGAGGTAAGGAGTTCGAAACTAACCTGAGCGAGACCCCATCTTTACCAAAAATAGAAAGAAATTAATTGACCAACTAAAAATATATATACAAAAAATTAGCCGGGCATGGTGGTGCATGCCTGTAGTCCCAGCTACTCGGGAGGCTGAGGCAGAAGGATTGCTTGAGCCCAGGAGACTGAGGTTGCTGTGAGCCAGGCTGATGCCACTGTACTCACTCTAGCCTGGGCAACAAAGTGAGACTCTGCCTCAAAAAAAAAAAAAAAAGAGTTAAGGATGCTTTTTGTAATTCAGCACACTTATGAATTAGGAAAATAGAGTTTACATTTTGTAACTATCTCTATAGGAATATGAAATATAATTTCAAAAGTGCCACTTTCTGCTTTGAATTTGTATAAATATTCTTTCACTTTCTTTTTCTTTTTTCTTCTAGAGTGTAAAATTCCGGAGTTCCAAATCAGGTAAAAATTTCTCTTGACCTTAGATGACATTCAGCCCTAAAAATTTGTACTCTAAGAATGGCTCATTCAATTTAGAGTAATTCACCTCAGGAGGGTCCTTGGTTCCCATAATAGTTTCTGCTATTTATTGATTTACTTCCAGGTTTCCCAGACTAGGAATTTTGTTTTGTGAAAGGCAAGGAGAAGACAGATTTTAGAATCTGCTCCTTAATATATAACCATTTAAAAATTATTTCAGATAGGATCTTTTAAAATTTTGCATCATTTCCATTATATAGGTTTTACCATTGTTAACAGTGAGATTCTAGAAAATCATTTCTGGCCACTTAGTTCAATTTTTTTTTTTTTAAATATGGAACGCTTCATGAATTTGCGTGTCATCCTTGTGCAGGAGCCATGCTAATCTTCTCTGTATAGTTCCAATTTTAGTATATGTGCTGCTGAAGCGAGCATGCCACTTAGTTCTTTAATTTGCCATTGCTTCTTCAGTACTTTCCTGAGATTTGTTTGTTTTATACATTGAATAACAACAACAGCTAACATGTACTGGGCATTTATTAGGTACTTTGCATACATTATCACAGGTGGAAGTTGCCCTTAACATATTCATTCATATTGTATTATTCAAACATATAAATAGGTAATATAACATAGAAGTTAAAAAAAATGGGCTTTGGGGTCAGATAGGCTGTAATTTCAAATCCCCAGTCTACCAAAAATTATCAAAATACATAACCTTGGTTAAATTACATACTTTCTCTAGTTATCTATTTTTCTTATTTGTAAAAGGAGTAGAATGGAACCCCTTAGAGGATTTTTATGAGGATTACGTGAGATAATGCATATAAAGCTTTTAGCACAGTGCTTGTCAAATAATAAGTCCTCATTAAATATTACCTATTATAATTTTTATTAATCATTAAATGAGCATTTACTAAGTAAGTTCTGTGTACCTTACACAGTGTTAGAATCATCAGGATATATGAGTACTACTTAATGCTTATATTGCCTAGCAATTTAGATTTAATGCAGTAAGTGTTATGCATTGTGGGTTATTATCAGGAGAGTATTAAGATGAAATGGTATTTTAGGAAGATATCTGCCAGGATATCATTAACTAACAGCTTTAATTCTTAAAATATCTCCTAACACCAAACTGGAAGATGATAAACTATTAGCGCTTAAGAGTAGTTATCAAATATTTATTAAATGCTTACTGTCTGCCAGTTATTGAATTAGGTGCTAGAAATAAGTACTATACTTTTGTATACTGCCCATCATATAAGAAATAAATAAGAAAACGTATTTATAGACAAATTCTAAGGCCTACAAAACCACAATGACCAATGATAGGTGAGACTTTAGCACTTAACTGCATTTTTGTTTTTAAAAGGTATTAATATGTAATAATACTCAGCACTGTAAAATGAGACATTTATGTCACTAGATCACCATGTGTATCTTTAGAAGTTTACATTGTAGGAAAATAGCTCTGTTAATTAAGATTCTTTATTAGAAAAAATTTCAAACATACATTTTAAACCTACCATAATAGCATTATCATACCAATAAAATTAATAATAATTCCTTAATAGCATCTAATATCGAGACTGTGTTCAATTTTCTTCAATTGTCTCAAAAATGTTTTTTAACAGTTGGTTTATTTGAATTTAGATTCAACGTCTACACATTGCATTTGGTTTATATGTTTAAGTAATTTTAAATCTGTCTTTTAAAATCTGTAACAGTTCTCCTTTTTAATATCTTCTCATGCCATTTATTTGTTGAAGAGAGTGGATCATTTGTCTTAAAGGCTGCTTAACATTCTGGATTTGGCTAATTGTAACCTCATGGTTTCATTTAACATGTTCTTCTATCCCCAGGATTTCATGTAAAATGGTAGTTAGATCTAGAAGCTTGACTAAATTCAGTTTCAATGTCTTTGGAAGAATACTTCTGAAGTAAGCTATAAGTTTTGGATGAGTCATACACTCATTTGCTAAAGAGACAGGAGAACAAAGTTCTAGAGGCTCCAGTCACTGTTCAGATAATTTTTATTTGGTGGTTAAGATTGATTAATTGAAAAAATTACAGAAAGCCAAAAAGGATCATGACTTATAACTTTTTAATTGATAGATTTCTTTGCTTTGTTGTATACTTTTTTTAAAATCACAGATCTACATCAAGATCGTTCTTCTTCCCCCCCACCTCCACTCCCAGAAAGAACTCTAGAGTCCTTCTTTCTTGCTGATGAAGATTGTAAGTAGCAGTATTTTCTCTCCAAAAAAAAAGTTACAAAAATGAGAAAGTTAAAAGATTAGCAGTAAAGTAGGACCTAAATGGAAAAAGTACAAAGAATGATCAAATAAAAGAGTACATTTAAAAAGTCCATAATGTTCTCCAGAAATAATAGGCAATTAAAAAAATTAAAAACAAAAGCCCAGAATATGTAGTAAAAAATAATGCCTAAAAAAGCCAAGCTAAGACCAGGCATGGTGGCTCATGCCTATAATCCCAGCACTTTGGGAGGCTGAGGTGGGAGGATCACCTGAGGTCAGGAGATCATGACCAATCTAGGCAACATAGTGAGACCCCCCTCTCGACAAAAAAATTTTTAAAAATTACCTTGAGCCCAGGAGTTCCAGGTTACAGGCAGCTATGATTATACCACTGCACTCCATCCGGCCTGGGCAACAGAGTGAGACCTTGTCAGAAAGAAAGACAGAAAGAAAGAAAGACAGAAAGAAAGAAAGACAGAAAGAAAGACAGACAGAAAGAAAGAAAGAAAGAAAGGAAGAAAGAAAGAAAAAAGAAAGCCAAGCATTACTGAATATATATCTATATATAACCCATAGGCTTAAGAAGCTATACCACAAAATTCTTTTTCTCCTTGTTTTTTTTAAAGGTATGCAGGCCCAATCTATAGAAACATATTGTACTAGTTATCCTGACACCATGGAAAATTCAACATCTTCAAAACAGACATTGAAGACTCCTGGAAAAAATTTCACAAGAAGTAAGGTAAAGAAGATAGCTGGGTTCATTCACATGGTAACAGCAAATGAAACAAAACAAGAGAAGATGGGAGTTTTATAAAACAAGCCAGAGATTTTCCATTTTTGAAGGTTTCCCCGTCCCCAGCATTAAGAAGAAAAATTAGAGTAAATATCTTTACTAAAACTGTTAATTTCACAACAATAAAAATTAATGGAAGGAAACCACAAAGGAGAAAAAAATACAACTTAGTTAAGGACTTATTTCTCCCTAAGGTTGATTTAAAAATTTGAAAGATGCCCAATACAACTATCAATGTGTTTATTCATGGAACTAGAGAGTCTTGATTCCAAAGTTCATATGAGGTAGGGGAGGAGAAAGAATAACCAGAAAACTGCAAATAAATAAATGAATAAATAGATAAAAATAAAGCAAAAAATAGAAAAATTCGCTGAGTGTGGTTGTGTGCTGTAATACCAACTACTCATAGGGCTGAGGCAGGAGGATGGGTTGAGCCCAGGAGTTGGAGGTTGCAGTGAGCTATGATCATAACATTCCACTCTAGCCTGGGTGACAGAGACCCTGTCTCAAAAAAAAAAAAAAAAAGATAAAGAAAAATAAATAAATAAATAAAAGACAAAAAACAAATTGGAAAAGAAATCTGCAACTAACATCATAGAAAACGGGTTATTTCTTTAATATACAAAGAGCTCTTAAAAATTCATAGAAAATAATAACCTTAAAATAAAAATGGGCAAAAATATATGATCAGAGTTCATATATTTATATTTCAAAGAGTTTATGATCATGTAGTTCAAAGAAAATAAATGACTATGGTCTGCCCTTTAAACATTTGATATGTTCAACCTCATTCATAATAAGAGAAATACAAATTAAAACCACAATGATATATTGTTTTTCATCTACCAGAATGGCAAATTCCAAAAGTTTGAGTATGCTCTCTGTTAGGGAGACTATGGGGAAATAAACACACCCCATATTGTTGTTGGGAATGTCAAATGGTACAACTTCTATGGAGGGCAATTTAGCAATATCAAAATTATAATGTATATATCCTTTAATGCAACAATTTCACTAAGTGAAATTTATCCTACAAATATGCTTGTACACATATGAAATGACATGTATACCAGGTATTCACCACAGCATTATTTATAAGAGCATATGACTAGAAACAACATTTATCATTAGGGGAACTAAGTTAAGTCATAAACCATGGTATAGCCATACAATAGAATGCCATGCAGCTAAAAACAAAAATGAGGATTCTCTCAATATATTTATATATAATTTATTAAATTTTGCTTAAAAGGGGAAAATATGATCTATATGTATATTTACTTATATATTCATAAGTAACTCAGGAAGGATACATAAGAAACTAACAGTAGTTAACTACAGGGAAAGGGTTCTAAACTGGGTAGAGGAAAACAAGGATATGAGTATTTTTGCTAGGATTTTTAAAATTGTAAATTAATTATTTTTTTAAATACCTAAAAATGTATTAAATATCTATTTATATAAGAGTACATTTCTGTCTGGTGTTAGGAAAATAGAAATGTCATCAAGGACATCTATCTGCCCTTGAAAAGAGTATAGTTAATCTGTTGGAACAGTACACCTCTATAAGAAACAACATGAAAATTATCAAGAAGAATAAAATACCATGAAGCAGATTAAAAACAAGTATGCCAAGCAAGTGTGGAGTAAAGAAGAAATTTGGGTAGGTTTCTTGAAGAAATAAGTTAGAAATTCCACCATCAAGAAGGCAGAAGACATGGGTTTGCTGAGAGAAGGGAGAAGGAAGTATCATGGCTAACAGTATGGAAGTGGGCCTTAGTAAATTTAGTACAGAATACAGTCAGCAAGAATATGAATGGTTACGTATTACAGCTATATTCTGAAGCCACTGTGGGTTCTGAAATGGTCCTAATAAAGGAAAGAAGTAGGAACTTTATTTTTCTCCCTTGATATTCTCAAAGCATTATTTCTAAATATATAGTGAGATACTTATATGGGTGGTAAAAATAGCAAGATAAAATCAAGTGGAGATTTTGCACTGAATTAAAAATGGCAAGATGGAAAAATAACTGCATTTTCATGGCTACTTTTAAAGGAATTAATCCTTTTGATTTAAGTCTATGCTTCTACTTGATTAAAGGATTTTGGATTTCACAGGAAAAAACTAACATTTTCCCTTTCTTCATGTTTGTAGAGTTTCAAAATTTTGCAAAACATGAAAAAGAGTAAGTTATATGTTTCTTATATTACTTTCATAATTATATAACTTTTCTTTATATAACCACTCTGTAAAAAATTAACAATATTTTTCCTAAGCAGAGCCCCTCTAGTATCCTATGGGTCAGAACACTCGCCCCTGAGCCTTGTACATTGTACTAGACTGCACAGTGCTAATATTGGGCAGGGATTAGAGGGATGGAAAAATTTTTGTTTAACAGACATAAATAATAATTAGTACAATGTTCCTAACCATCCTAAGATGCTGCCATACATGTATTATTTAAAATTCCTAGCAGTCTAACCTCAGATGTATTTTCTTTGAAAATAGTCACAGCAAAGCATATTGTGAAACAAATGTGTTGTGACTTCATGAAATAAGCAAAGCATTGACACATTTCCATTTTTACCAAGTATTATTAGCAATAAGTCTGTTGCTTACTATTTTTGCTTTATTATAATGAAAATAAAGCCCATAGACTCCTGAAACTGTGAGAATTTATCTTAGAAATCCTTATTTACAAATATAAAATATATAAAACATGGTGCTACACTTTTTAAAATTTTGATTCATTGGGTTAATCACAAAGGACTAAATAGTTACTTTAAGTAATATTGGTGCTATAGGGAGGGACAAAGAGCATTGAGAAAATCTGATTTAAGGTATAGTCTAAGTAAGAAGGTTTATAGTGGAATCTTACCTTTTCCTTTTGGGTTTTCACTCTATCTCCCTATCCATAAACTCCAGATTCTTGAGCTAGTTTGCTATCATTGCTATCCTACCTGATCTCTGAAATGAACTGATTTCTCATTCATAATGGCTAGAGTATGGTTGGAAAATATACCCTTTCTCCTAAATTTATTCAAAAGAGAATTTAAACATTTCAAAAGGAAACTATGGCGGGAAACAGGGGAAATAAAATAGCCAAAAAGCAAAGAAATGAGTGATTTGAATAGCCAGCCAAAGACTGGTTTGATCAGTTTAGCTTATGAAACACTGTGTTCTTTCTCTAGCTCCAACTCTGTCTGAGGATATCAAACAAAGAAATAGAAACTTCAGGTAGATTTAGATTGGCATAGCTTTGAGATATGGTGGTGCTCTCAGAGACAGTCTTATTCTAAGTAAATGCTTCCAGGTCATTCTTTGGATCTAAGCTGTGCTGTATTTCTATTTTTCAGTTATCTTGATCCTCTGGTCTTTTTCCTTTAAATGAAGAAGGGCATCTAGTCTCCAAAATTGATCCTGAAGCTTTAGACTTATCTATCTGCCTGTACTTCATCTGTCTCCTCTACCTCTTATAGATGGTTTACAACTCCAGAATTCCCTTTGTTCTCCCCTTAGCCTGAATCTCTTACTGGTCTATAGTTAAAGCTGGTCCTACTTTTAATGAAATTAGGATTCTTCATCTGTTATTTATTTATTTATTTATTTATGATAATGAGTTTAAGGTTTAAGATAATGAGTTTATCTTACATTGATTTTATAGCTGAGGCTGGTTTGGGTTTGAGATATGTGAGTAACATATGGTATGGGCTTTCACCTGTTTATATCCTCTGCTATTTCCTTCTTCACTGTTTCATAGTTCTTCTTGTAGAGGTCTTTTACCTCCTTAGTTAAATATATTTCTAGGTACTTTATTTTCATTGTTGCTATTTTGAAGGGAATTGAGTATTTTGATTTAGTTCTCACTTCGACTGTTATTGGCGTATATGAATGCCTCTGATTTGTGTGTATTGATTTTGTATCCTAGACTTTACTGAATTCATTTATCAATTCAAGGAGTCTCTTGGTTGAATCCTTGGGTTTTCTAGATATATCATATCATCAGCAAAGAGTGAGAGTTTGATCTCCTCTGCTCCCATTTGGATGCCCTTAATTCCGCTCTCTTGTCTGATTGCTATAGCAAAGACTTCCAGCACTATGTTGAACAGAAGTGGAAATAGTGGGTAACCTTGCCTTATTCCAGTTCTAAGTGGGAATGCTTTCAATTTTTCCCCATTCAGTATGATGTTGGCTGTGAGTTTGTCATATATGGCTTGTATCATTTTTAGGTAAGCCCCGTCTATGCCTATTTTGTTAAGTGTTCTTATCATAAAAGGGGGTTGAATTTTGTCAAATGCCTTTTCTACATCTATTGAGAGGATCATATGGTCTTTGTTTTTGCTTCTGTTTATGTGGTGTTCATCTGTTATTTTAAGCTAGCATCTAAGCCTAGTTAGTGTTTTTCATTCATTCAATCAAACAATCAATCAATCAAGCAATATTTGGTTAGTGCCTCCTGTGTGCCAGGCAAAGTATGGGGAGAGTATTCCAGATAGTGGGGAAAAAAACCTCTGAAGTGTGAGAATTTGTTGTGTTGTAGGAACTGAAAAAAAGCCATCAGAGCTGCAGGGTAGTAAGTAAAGAGGAGACAGAAGTAAGGTGAGGCTGGAAAGATGAGGGAGGAGTAGTCAGATTCTTATGGGTCATGTTAACCACTTTGGTACGAGTGTCAACTATAGCCAATAGCCACAGATGAACGCGCATAGCCAAGCGTCAACTGTAGCCGACAGCCGTGATGTGAAGGCGCACAGCTGAGTGTCGACTTTAGTCTATAAGTTTGAATTGACTTTTCTAATTTTTCATTTATCAAAATAAAATTGTGAACATTTAAAAATAACGTAATAAAAACATATATGTATATGTTACCTATTCTGATTTACGTTACAAGTAAAGCTGCCTGTAAAATAAAACAAGCTTTCAGTGCTTTAAAGCTTTCCTCATCAAGCACAAAACAGATTTGTTGTCAATGCACAGCACAAACTATTGTGCAGACTATGAGTGCTGGCTGTGGGCAAGGTTTTGCGGCCGGTGAGCGCCATATCAAAGTGGTTAAATAGTTTAGAGTTTATTCTAAGTGCAATGGGAAGCTATAAAAAGGTTTTAGGCAGAGATGTTACATGCCCCATTTTTTTTTTTTTTTAAAAAGATCATCTTGGCTGCTGTACGAAGAATGAATTATAGGGTGATAAGAATGGAAGCTGTCAACTATGATGCCTGGTGCCAACTTTTGGTGGGAAACTTTGGAATTGCTCAGAAATCCTTTAGTTGCAAGTGACAGAAAACCCAACTTAAGCTGACTTAAGCAGAAAAGGAGAATTTATTGGCTTGTAACCAAGGGTTCATATGATGGAATCAGAACCTACTCTCTCATTCCATCTGTCAGGTTTGTTTCACTCTGTGTTAGCTCATTGTAGGCAAGCTTTTACCCTGTGAGTTGAGGCTTATGATGGAAAAAAAACAGCCCTTTCCTGGTTTCTCAAGCAACAGTCTGATGACTATTGCTGATTGGGCCTGATTATCTTGGCTTGGTTCACTTGCCAGTCCCCGAAGCAATTATTGCCAGTATATTTAAAGTTCTGATTAGGCAGGATAATGTCACATCTAATATTTAACACTTGTTACATGTAGATACTGACCAATCAGGAATGAGGTAGAATCAGCTCCACTGGAAGTATGGGAACTGAAAATTGGGCAGGGATGGTTTCCCATAGGAAAATTCAAGTTATTTTATCAGAAGAGGGACTGAATGCTAGGCAAGTAGCATAAAAATATCTATGACATGCCAATATGCAAAATAGCAGCTCTTTCTGATATATATATATGCAGAATCTTTGCCTCTTTTATAAAAGAAAAATTTCCCTTTGGGATAATTGTTTTCTTTTTGAGGCATGTATACAATTCTCAGCTTATATGCAGTACAGAGATTACTTGTATCTCCTGAACTTTCTTACCTTCATCCACTTTATATTCACATCTCTGTCTTCAGTGTCTAGCTCAATGCTTGGCGTATAGTGGGTATTCAATAAACATGTATTTTAATTAGATTTGATTGAAATTCACTATGTAATCCAGTGATTCATACTCAGGTACCTCCTGGAAGAGAAAGGTGTTTCTTGAAGCCTAGTATTAGGTGTGTATGTGCAAACACATGTATGTAGTTCTCATACTGCATTCTGAAAACACCATCAAAAAAATATTTACTAATTTCTCCCTATTTATATGCTGTTTGTTAGGAAGTTTATACAAATTTGGAATTATCTGTTTTTCACTGCAACATAGTACATGTAAAAAATGTGGAATTTCACTGGATTGTTTTCAAAACTGGGCAGAAACTGATACATGACTATATCAAAGTAGCTACCTGTAAATAACTAAAGTAGCAAAACAAAGCAGTAGCATAACAATGCTTTTGGGGGATTATGGGTCTAAATTAGAATCATCTATAATGTGAAAAAAAGTAGGCTGGAAAGTAGAATGAAGATTATAAGAGGAGAGGAGAGTGTAAGAAAAATCACAAACTTGCCATGAATAAATTAATGTGGAGAACAGATGATTTAAAAATGTACTAAGAGTGATCACAGAGCAAAGTAAGATGAAATCCAAAGCCAAAATGTGAATCCCTAAAAAAGCTGATTCATAATATATATTTGATCTATCTTATTCCTTTGGCAAGTTTCTTTAGTGTTGGGCTTTACTATACAATCTGTTTGCAAAGAAAATAAATCTTTAAAAAAAGCACACATACAATGAGAAGTCTATAGTGTCAGCTCATTTATAAGCACCTTTATTTTGTTAATATTTGATAGTGATATATTTATTTGGGAGTATTAATTACTGTGGAGGAAATGTTTAAGCTCAACAATTATGCAATCTGACAAACAGTAATCTGAATTTGTTTTTAGTCTTTCCCTTACATTGTTTCTTTTGATTCTAGGTATCTGTAATTCTTCACCGCCAAGCAAGCATGCAGAATCTGTTCAGTCAAATAACTCCAGCTCCTTTCTTAATTTTGGTATGTGTGTTATTTTACAGCAGAGTTTTAACAAAGTATCTAAATTATCCATTTATAATATACAGATACAAATGTAAATATGATTTATGGTTGTATGTATCAGTCCTTATATTTATATTCTTTTTCATGCAATTTATCTTTTTAATTTTAACCTCAGCTACCTTTTAACATCACACATAGAACTAAATTATCTAGCATATGCAAAAAATAAAGCTAAGTAGCCAAATTATTATGTTGGCATATAGTAAATAAATATGACTAGCCAAATGAAGAAATTGAGATGGTATGATATTCTGGTTTGTATCTAAAGCAAAGTTATAAAAAACATGCAAGTGTGATAAAAAGAATTGCAGCTGCTGATATCTAATCTTATAACTCATTCAACAGTAGGAGATGAAGTACAATTCTGACAGCTTAAAGGAATTACTCACCCAGTTGCTCCTAACTATAAGCTATAAATGTAAAATGATAATTTTATATTATTTTAAGCATTCTGTTATTCTATGTGATATATATTCATGGTACTATTTAAAACAGTATCACATACAATCTAATTTTTTGTAAGAAGTACAGCAATTAGTAGTAGGATATTACTACTAAAAATTATTATTAACCAAAAAGCAGACTTTCTGAGAGGGCCTAGGGGACCCCCAGGAGTTAGTCCCTGGAACACACTTTTGAGAATTGCTGCTTAATAGTATTGTGCCTATTTGTACTGTGAAAATTAGGTTGTTGTCACATTCAGATTGCAGGTGGCAAGAGAAGAGAAATATATGGAGGAGGTATGGCCTCTTCTTCTGGTCTTAAGGCACTGGCCTGGAAGTGGCAACATGACTGTCAGCTCACATTCCCTTGAAGAGAACTTAGACATGTGCTATAACTAAATTGCAAGAGAGACTGGGAAATGTAATATTGCTGGGCAGACAGATACAATTGCCTAGATACATTTCTATCTGAGGAAGAAGCAAAGAAAGATTATGGTGGACAGGTAGCAATCTCTGCCTCACCTGGGTTATGGTCACCATGCCGCCTTCACAAAATGTTTAACTAGAATCTCTGGATCTGTTTCTTTAGCCATAAAATTTTCTTTGGCTTTCATTAACTGTAAGGTTTACAATGTTATAATTAAGAAAAAGAAGTTATAAATTTTAGGAAATCATTTAGCTAAAATATCCATTTACATAGAATATTGTATAAAGTGTAAAAAACTATTTTTTCATAGTTTCCTTTGAACATAAATGCTCTCTGCCTCCTTTTCTCTCAGTGATATCTCTTTAGTAATGCAAGGCCCACCCAACTTTACAACAGTCTGTGATCTAATATGAGGATAAAATATTAGAAAGCTGCCTCCATGTTGCTTCCTCTCAAATATGCCTAGATCTGAAGATTTTATATACTTAAAAAGCAACACATTTTTTATTAGCTCCTTTTTTAAAGAAGACTCCTTTTTAAATATAAATTGTAAGATGATATTATTCAAAACAGCATTATTCAAATAATAATCTTTTTCATTCATATTCATTGAATGAAAAAAATTATGATTTAGGTTTATTTTCCTAGTTGGCCCACATGTAAAAAAAGGTAACTCACAATTGTTCTAAACTATTGAGACTTGACTAATACCAGAGACAATATAGGTATTCCTAAAGTTTTATATACTCAGTACCTACATATGTCCTTACTTCTATTCCCTGTCCACTAGGGTTATAATCAAGCTATCTGCACTGATGGGATGATTTTGACTATTATGTGAGATCATTTAATCTGAAGTATTCCTTCTATCTTCTTTCTCACCACTTAGAGGAGTAAAATGTACATGAACTAGGCTGTACCACCCCTCCCTCAATTTTTTTTATCACCACCATTAATAAATTTAATTTTAGTGGTTTTTATAAAAAAATCTTCCTTTCCCCTTCCCTACTATCCTCCTTCAGTTCTGGTACAGTTTTTTAGGTTCAGATTTAAGCAACATTTGAGTAGTTACTATGTGTCAGGCATTGTACTGGATACTTTTAAAACAAATATCTCATTTGATCCTTATATCAGTTCTTTAAGGTAGATAATATATTTTATAAGATTAATGAAATTAAAGGTTTAGGAATATCTGAGTTTCCCACTCTCTGGTCTTCCTCTGTATACCTTTCATTTCTTTATTTAAGCCCCTAAAGTTGCTAAGTGTAAGATACTGTGAAAATACATTGTCATCAAAGAAAAGTCCTATGTTGCTTAAGTCTGCAGTCTCCAAGCCCTAGAGCCATGGACCAGTATCAGTCTGTGGCTTGTTAGGGACTGGACTGCAGAGCTCCACCCACCCACGCCCTGGGATCCGTGGAAAAACTGTCTTCCATGAAACCAGTCCCTGGTGCCAAAAAGGTTGGACGCTGGCTTAAGTGATTAAAACAAAAAAACTCCACCAGTGTCATCAATCTGTAAATCTTTTGACAGCATTCAGAAATAGCCTTCATTAATTGTAAAAAATTTCCTCATCCTCCTTCTTTGGGGTGGGTGTGCAGGTCCAAGTTTGAGGAAGAAAGATAAATAAAAATGATTACTTAACTACTTAGTTTTTCAGAATTTCTCATTATTTTTTCTAAGCTTTTCAAATATGCTCTCTCAGTAAATTGATGGCTTTCTGGGCTGAAGTAGAGGTATAACTGAGTTTAATACAATAATTTTGCAAGTAATAGTGCTTATTTTTGTGAAATTGAAATTTCCCAGCTTTGTTTTTTTGATGGACAGGTGGTGGGTAAAGAAAACCATAAATAAATGATATTATATATTGAATTACCAAAGGCTATCATAATCTGGGTTCTTTGTCCTATTATTATTACCATTATTAAATTTTTAAGTGCTCTATAAACTTAAACTATTATCATTTAAGCTTTAAATTACTATAATGTCTTTATAATCTATTACTAAATTGATCAAAGATGCTGCCTAACCTTTTTTAAAAATCCATGTATTTGCATATATTAAAATATACTCTAAAATCCAAGTATTCATTTTTATATAAAAAACTTTCTCTTTTCATTCAAATTTCTTTTTGTTCCCAGGTTTTGCGAATCGTTTTTCAAAACCCAAAGGACCAAGAAACCCACCACCATCTTGGAATATTTAATATAACTCTGGATTTATAATATAGGCTGCAAGTGCATCTGCAAATAAAACTACTAGAATACTGCTAGTTAAAATAAGTATTCTATATTCATAATATCAATAATGAAGATATGATAATGTGATAATAGCTTTTGAAAGAAAAGTAATATGCAAATACGTGTCAGAAGTTTTGTATTTTCATATTATTTACATTGGGTTGGAAACTACAAATAAAAGTTTGTCACTTGAGCTTATGAAAAGGATGCTATATGAGAAACACTATTTTTTTTTTTAACTTTCAAAGGTTTGTAAGATTTGGATCTCAATTAAATCTCTACATTGTCAAAATTTACTGTACAAAGTTTTAAAAAAAACCTCTTACCTTGTGGTTGCAGTACAAAATTCCTGTTTGTGACAATGACTATTCCCTGGTAGTTATTTTTGACTAAATGGAGTATAACTTGAGCATCTTCTCAAATGCAGGGGGAAACTAGAGCAGTACGAAAAGGAGAAATTATATTTAAGAGAATAAAATATGCAAATCATGGCAGTACTCATTTTTAAATCTAATCCTACTAACAAGATGTTCAACTACATTCCTGATAAGTTTTAACCTACGTTACTCAATTATCATTTCTAGAAAAATAATCAACTATATACAGCAGCTATCTTTTAGTAGCATTTCCTTCATTTAAAAATTTATATCCAACCAATCAGAGATAATTCTAGTTTAAAATAAAGTTTTATGTGATTATGGATCTGCCTTTTAAAAAAATCTATTTCAAATCTAATTTTATGTAGCAAATAAGTTAGTGGGTAATTATTATTACAAAGAATTCAGCCAACTTTCTCTAATGATTTAACATTTTTTTATTAAAAAAAACCAGTACTTTATTTCTAACTTTTAGACACATGTAATATTACTTAAACATAATTTGCTCTGCAATATCTTTCATTCGGAAGCCTAATGATAGGACAAATAGAATGAAATATTCTTAACCTGTCTCTTGCAGTACAGTGTACCCAATAGATGATCAATAAACTTTGTTTTTAAATTAACTTTACTGCAGTAATGTTAGTTTTGGTAATACTTCTCCAGGAACTAGTGGTATCAAATCACTGTAATTTTTTTCTATTTAAAAAAATTTTTTAAATTCTTTTCTTACCCTGGTCTTCTGTATGAAAATCACAGTAATTTTATCTGCTGAGTATATCACTGAATCAATTATTTCCAAATATCTTTATGAAGGACCAAACATAGTAAACGAATCAGAGGTAAGGTCCCGTGCACGGCGCACACCTATATATGGCCTCAGCTACTCACCAGGTCAGCTTGGGCAACACAGTGAGACCCCATCTCTAAAAAAAAATTATGATGATGATAAAAAAATCCTAGGAAAAAGCTAAAGTGAGAAGTGAGGATAAAATTCTAAATGAACTTCTGAGGAGCAAGCATCCTTTAGTGAACAGTGACGATTTTTGAAGTGTTCTCTAGTAAACACGCTTTTCAAACTTAGAAAATCTTACACGTATGATTTGAAAAAAATCTTATTAAAAAATCCTAAACATGGTTGTCCATGTAGGAATATATTCAAAATAAACGCTAGACTCTACCTTTCCAGGCATTAGAAGGGATGTGGCTTGATGGCGAGGTGAGGCCGTGCTCACTAGGCTCCCAGGCTGTTCTTGCATCTGACTTGTTACGCCTGTAGTTGTAACCATAGCAATGCCCATCAAAATGCTTCAAAAATTTTCTGAATTGCGGCCCTATTATATTTTACAGCAAAATTGCCCTCATTTTACATAATAACTCCTTTTTGTCCTTCATTTCATCGCTTGTCAAAGGTGAAAGGCTGGAGATTCTTTTACCTCATAAAGGTTATGAGAGAAATATGAAATTTAAAAAGTCACTATGGAGACCACCTACTCCGTGTAAAATGACGAATGGGCGCAGGAACATGATAATGGGAACGCGCCGCCACACTCTGAAAGCCATAAACATTGTTTCGGCCGTTAAAGCAGTTGGCTGCCAGTCACCGCCCAGGGGCGGTTGCGTCGCAGCCCGAAGCGTGACTCGGCGCACGCTCCCTTTCCGCTCCTCCACTCACAGAGCCGCGGACGCGGCGGAACTACCGCTCCCACGAGGCTTTGCGCGGCCGGGTGCTTTACAATAGAAGCTCGGTTGGAGAGGCCTGAGGAGAAGCGCTGGGAACCGCCGCTTCCGGCATGTTGGGCTCAGGACGAAGAACGGCCGACAAGTGCAGGGCGCAGGAGAGACTCCAATGCCCAGCGGGCCGTGCGCGGGTGGCGCTTGCGCGGTGCGCGGACGGGGGGGCGGTCGGGCCATTTAAATGTGTGTTTGTGGGTGAAATGGCTGCGCAGGTCGGAGCGGTGCGCGTAGTACGGGCGGTGGCGGCGCAGGAGGAGCCGGACAAAGAAGGGAAAGAGAAACCCCATGCTGGGGTCTCGCCGCGGGGAGTGAAGCGGCAGCGCCGAGCTAGCAGTGGGGGGTCTCAGGAGAAGCGGGGGCGGCCGAGCCAGGATCCCCCTCTTGCTCCCCCTCACCGGCGGCGTCGCAGCCGCCAACATCCCGGGCCGCTGCAGCCAACGAATGCAGCTGCCCCAACCGTCTCAGGCCCTGTTGAGCCTCTTCTCCTGCCGCCTCCTCCGCCACCTTCGCTGGCACCCGCCGGGCCCGCTGTCGCTGCCCCACTCCCGGCCCCAGGCACCTCGGCCCTCTTCACCTTCTCGCCCCTGACGGTGAGCGCGGCTGGGCCCAAGCATAAGGGCCACAAGGAGCGGCACAAGCACCATCATCACCGCGGCTCCGATGGTGACCCCAGCTCCTGCGTTCCAGGCGATCTCAAGCACAAGGACAAGCAGGAAAACGGCGAGAGGGCTGGAGGGGTGCCTCTGATCAAAGCCCCCAAGAGAGGTGAGAGCAGGCCAACTGCCCGGCTTGGGCTCTAGGTCTTTCTCAGTTCCGACATTCCGCACCTTTAGGACTGAAAGACGCCAAACCCTTGCTTACCTCCTGCCGCTTTACTCTCCAAAGCCCACTGGGGTGGACTCTGGATTTCAGACCGTTGACACTGACCTACTTGAGGTTTCTCGCTCCGAGACCGAGCTGTCAGTTACTAACCCCCTTACCAGTCCCCGGGAGCTTTTCTAGGTTTGTTTTCAAATTCGGCAGGCTTTCCGCGCCGTGCTGTTCTGGGCGTTAGATTAGTAGGTGGGGTATTAAAAACTCCTTTTTGAAGTAAAGGTTTGTCTAAAATTCCTTCTCCCTCTTTTCCGTGCTGGGAAGCTTTAGTATTTTTGCTCCCTTCTCTTCCAGAATATTCATGGGTATGGTTCAGGAATTTAATGAGGGAATTCTTACAGAGGTTACACGACTCACCAGTTGACTTAGCTTCTGTAATGTAAAATATCAAACGCAGTTTATCTTGGTTCTTTTTCGTGTAGAGTAAAAATTATTCCTATATTTTTATATTAGCTATTTTAATTCTTAGAATAGGAATGGGGAAGATTTTCTGTTTCTTTTGATCCTAGGAAATAGGACCAACAGTGCCTCTGAAAAGTGGGAAGTGTACAATAGATAGTAAAGGCAAGAATTCCAGTTGCATTTTATTCTGTCTGGCACTATTTGTGAATCTATATAATTCCAATAACCCTCAAGAATATTCAGCTTAGAAAATACAGGACTGATTGTGTGGGTTCTAAAGATATTAAGTTGGCCAAAATTGGTGTTTTCCCATTTCCAAGTACCTGTAACATTTATTTATATTATTTGTGGAAGAAAGGGGTATGCTTTTGATTATGCCATATGTTTGTACTTTGTATATTACTTTATATAATTTGTTAGTTGTTTCTTCTCAAGAAGATTTTAAGATACTTTTAGGTTCTTTAGTATTGGGCCAGTTATTACATGCTAATGAACCAGTCTTTCAACCTAAAGTTTTGTGGGTCTTGCATTCTTTCCACATATTTGGCCTTAACTTAGGGCTAATCACTTTTTTGTGGTGCTATTTCCTTTTTTTTTTAACCTGTTCCTGACAAGGTGAATTTTGTGGTGTTATTGCCAAATAGCATAGTTAGTTGCAAATAATTGCTTAGTATTTATTGAATAGAATTAAATTTTTCTTCTTTTGGTGGTATTCAAATCTTATTCTTAGGAATAGAGCTTGTGGCAAGCTGACAGAAGTGCCAGTTTCCATCACTAATATGCAATGATCTTGCTCTCTTTTATTTTTACCTTTATTCCCTACCTTCTCATTTCTTTTGTGTGTGTGTTTCAACTGTACAGAATGAGAGGTCATCTTTGTGATCATCCGCTTTAAATTTGTATTGTAGACGAGGAAACAAAGGCCCAAGTAGTGAAGAGACTTATCAAGTCATAGTTAATTAGTATGAAGTACAAAATTTAAAAATTTGTTTTTTTTTAAATGAATCATTGGCATAGTAGGGAGTGTAACCCAGACTCCTGAATCTCCAAGGTGCATGTTGTTGCTTTCTCTTCTTGCTATTCATTTTTTTCCACTCCTTTGTTTACATTTTTCCTGTGCTTTGACATTATCAGGGCAGTAGATGATTTTAGGTCATCAAGGATCTCTGACCCAGCCCCCTTTTATAGGGGGATAGTGGTAATGGCATGTGTAATAAATCACAGTGTGCTTCTCTGAAGCTTACACAGGTCCCATGTTCTTTAAGAAAAAACAAAACAAAACCTCTAAACCAGTGCTGACTGAGAGAACTTTCTCAGATGATGGAAATGTTCTATATCAGTGCTGTCCAATATGGTAGCCATATATGGCTCTTGAACAGACCTGAACAGTGGTTAGTGTGACTGAAGAACTGAATTTTTTATTTTATTTGATTCTAATTAATTTATAATCAGTCACATAGGGCTAGGGGTGACCACATTGAATGAACAGCATAGCTTTAAACATCTGTAGTTTGCCAATATGTGAAGAAGAGAAGTGATTTAAGATCGGGCTGTTCACACATTTTAACTTTTGGCTGAAAAATTCTTAGATTATATGCCCAAACTATACTTTAGTGGAAAAGGGCTCCCTAGTAAAAAATACATTTGGGAGAAAGATGGTTGACATGCACTGATATTTAAAAAGTTCTGAAAACCCTACAGAAAATAAACAGGTTTGAATTTGTTTAATCCAGGCTTTTGCACAATTTAACTGAGACTTTTTGTTCTCTGAACATCTTTATACTTGATAGTGGTATGTAGGAGGGATGCCTCTCATATTAATCTGAGTTTAAATCCACTTACCACTTACTGTGTGACTGTGAGCAAATTGCTTTAACGTCTCACAACCTCAGTTTTCCTGTCTGTAAAATGGGGTTATGGTATTTCATTTATAAAGTAGTTATGTGGATTAAATGGGGCAATGTGTGGAAGGCACTTAAAAACAGTTCCTGGCTCATTATAGGCACTTAGTTAAAACTGTCTTTTATTATTTTATTGTATTTGCTCCTTGAAACAACTAATTAATAAGGAGAGTGGGTAGTCTCTTTTGATTTACAGAGCTATGTCTTCCCTTTGCTTATCCTCAGACTTTCAGGAACTATTTTAACTTTCTGAGATAATTATAGATTCACAGGAAATTGCAAAAAAAGTACAGAGCAGTCTTTACCCTTCACCAGTTTCCCCCAGTGGTTACATCTTGCATAACAATTATATGATACCAACACCAGGAAATTGACATTGATACAGTGTGTATGTAGTTATGTGCCATTTTATCACATGTAGATTAGTGTAACCACTACAATTGACATATAGAACTATTCCATCACCACAAAGCTCTTCCTTGTGCTATCCATTTATAGCCTTAGGCACTCCTTCTGTGTCTATACCCTTCCTAACTCCTGGCAGCCACTGATCTGTTCTTCATCTTTATAATTTTGTCATTTTGGGAGTATTACATAAATGGAATCATACAGCATGTAATCTTTTGAGATTGGCTTTTTTTGCTCAGTATGATGTCCCTGAGGGATGTATCAGCAGCTTACTCCTTTTCATTGCTGAATAGCGTTCCATGGTATGGATATACTGTGGTTCACCTATTGAACCTTTCACCTATTGAAGGACATTTGTGTTGTTTCTAGTTTTGGCTATTACAGATAAACCTTCTACAAACATTCATGTCAGGTTTTTGTGTGTATATAACTTTTCATTTTTCTGGAGAATGCAACTGCTGGGTCAGATAGTAAATAGTCAGCCCTCTTTGTCTGTGGGTTCCACATCCATGGATTCCATCAATCTCAGATCAAACATATTTGGAAAAATATTATGTCTATACTGCACATGTACAGACTTTTTTCTTGTCACTTTTTCCTAAGCCTGTGGTCCCCAACCTGGGACCAGCCTGGACCAGTACTGGTCTGTGGCCTGATAGGAATGGTCTTCACAATAGGAGGTGAGTGGCAGCGAGCAAGCAAAGCTTCATCTGTATTTTATAGCTGCTCCCCATTGCTCGCACCACTGTCTGAGCTCTGTCTGCTGTCAGATTAGTCACTGTCTCACATCACCCCCAGATGGGACCGTCTAGTTGCAGGAAAATAAGCTCAGGGCTCCCACTGATTCTGCATTATGGTGGGTTGTATGATTTTTTCATTATATATTACAATGTAATAATAATAGAGATAAAGTGCACAATAAATGTAATGTGCTTGAATCATCCTGGCCCCTGTCTGTGGAAAAATTGTCTTCCATGTAACTGGTCCCAAAAAGAATTGGGGTCCGCTGCCCTAAGCGATATAGTATAACAACTAAAAATAGTATAAGTACTCTAGAGATGATTTAAAGTATAGGGGAGGATGTATATAGATTATATGCAGGGGCTTGATCATCCTTGGATTTTGGTATTCCTGGGAGGTCCTGGAACCAGTCCCTCATGGATACAAAGGGATGACTAAAT